CTAGTTCTGTTGCTAGTTGTTTATTTCTATTAGTGAATCTCTTTGTAGAGTTTAGTTCTATATAAGTGAGTGTTACTCACTGTTGTAATGTTCTTTGTTCAATCAATTCATTTTAGAATTTTCCTGAGCTTTGTTCTTTGTTATTTTTCTTTGATTTTGTTTTTCTTATAATTGCAGTAAAAGTTAGTTTGCGTAGAAGAATATTCAACTTTGTTATAGTACGTTGCATTCTATCTATTAACCTAATGTATCAGGATAAATATTTACATTTTTCTAGTAACAAGTTTTATTATAAATTGTCCTCTTTTAGATCATTATAGTTTTCACCAATCTAATATACGCTGCACTATATACTTCAATTGTCATTGCAAGTGCTTGCCACCCGTCCTTGTTTATGACCATATGAAATACCTATTTGTGTATGAATATACAATATTTTTTTATTGCTTTATCTCTATTTAACACGAACAAGTAAGCCATTATAGACATGAAGTTTGTTTATTACTATACGCTGAAATATAAGATTGAAAATACTGATATCTACTCCCTTATCCACCATGGCTATTTTGATTAATTGATTTGTTTGCTGCAAATATATTCGTCCAGTTTCAGTGGTATTGCAACCATTCAGAGCACAATAGTTGAATTTTATAAGTGCATATTTAAGATGTATTCTTTATTTAAAAAATGAGGCTATTTAATTAAGTCCAACAATAAAATAGATACTTGACAGAAATAGAATTTAGAAAATTATGACATTTTTGAGACTTCATTAATATCTTTTATATTATGTTTATGATTATATATTGTAAGGAGCCAATTAATTCTTTTAAAACTACCATTTGTGTTTGTCATGTAAATGAAAATGGTTTTCTAAATTTAATTCAATAATTTCAAATTCATTTTTATACATTAAACTTGTTTTCTTCTTTTTAATGCTTTCTTAAACAAGTTATTTTATTTTCTAAATTTATCAAATATTTTAAAATACATAATGTTCATATGTTAAAATAAAATTAAAGAATATACATATTGCAATTTATGATAATGATGTATAGACTACTCTATTATTTATATATAAATTCAATTAAGTGATTTTTCTTATTTTTTCTAAAATAAAATATAATAATTTACAATAATGATATATAGACTCCTCTATCATTTGCATATTATAAATTCAACTAAGTGATTTTTTTAAAATAAAGTAAGCTTTTGTTCATAAACTTCGCTTATGATATTTATAAATTTTGTTGGTTAATCTATTATAATTTCTTATTCTTCCAACAATGTTATAATAATGATGCATAGACTACTCTATCATTCGTGCATTGTACAAGTTCTTAGAGCACTGAAAAATACATGAGAGCATGATCAAAATCCGTCTAGTCCTATTATTTTAAAACTTATTTTCTCTCCATTATTTTAAAAAAAAAGACAAATAAATAGAATATCAAATTTAGGAATAAAATAAAATTTTAATTTTTGCACAATTTAAGATAACTGTTTTATAGACGCCATGAGGTGCTAATATTATTTTTTGGCATAATTAAATTCTTGAACTTAGATCTATCAGAACATTCTTTTTTCAAAGTTGTTCATGGTTCTTTAAAAATTTTGGTGGTGACTCTTCAATCTCTATTTTTCCTGCTTTCCATTTTTTATTTCATCATTCTTGTAATTTTTTGTTGGGATTGATGAAAATAGTACATCTTGAAAATTTTACATTGTTCAAGGTATGTTGGAAGAAGTCCCATATCGCCTAGGATGAACAAGGGAATGGGTGAAAAAGGCTATATAATGGACCTGAGTCTATGGTATCAAGGCACCTTAGTCAGAAACACTTTAAGTTTGTATTTTACTTTTCTTATACTCTTGTATTAGAGTGTTATGAGATTTAGTTTAATTACTTGCTGTGGAGAGTGTGGGTGTAAAATTACTTGTTGAGGAGAGTGTGGGTGTAATTAGGGTAAGGAAGAATAGTTTATGCGTTGTAAAATTTTCACATAGTGTTATTCTCTGGTTGTCATTAAACAACAACCGTGGTTTTTTCTCTTGTTTTTGGAGTTTCCACATTATATTCTTGTGTGATTATTTTTATCTTAATTCTCTGTTAGAAGGGTAATTCTCAAGGAGTATGCTCTGAGGTTGTTAGAAAGGTAATTCTCAAGGAGTATGCTCTGAGGTTGCAGCTTAGTCTGATCCTTGTTGTTGGAGAATCATCTTTGGTTGCTGAAGCTACAATATCATTTGCAAGTGCTGTTAAATGTGACATAGAGAAATTTGATAGAAGGATCAATGATTACACATGAGTGTTGACTAACACTGATGCAAGGTGTGTGGTAATTGTACACGGGCATTGGTTAGCATTTATGCAAGGTGTGTGATAATTGTACATGGGCATTGGTTAACATTGATACAAGGTGTGCAGCAAGTGTACACATGCATTAGTTGGCATTGATGCAAGGTGTGTGGTAAGTGTACACAGGCATTGGTTGGCATTGATGCAAGGTGTGCGGTGAAAGAAAATTTTTAGAGTGGTTTAATTTCAAGTAAGTATACTCTTTATAGTGGAGTATGATTGTCAGTATAGACAATGATTGTTGGTGTAAGCAATGAAAATAGAAGATGTGTCTATTTTAATCATGGTAGAGATTGTTGGGATTGATAAAAATAGTACATCTTGAAAATCCCACATTGTTCAAAGTATGTTGGAAGAAGTCTCACATCGCCTGGGATGAACAAGCGAGCGAGTGAAAAAGGCTATATAATGGACCTAAGTCCATGGTATCAAGGCACCCCAGTCTGAAACACTTTAAGCTTGTATTTGACTTTTCTTATACTCTTGTATTAAAGTGTTATGAGGTTTAGTTTAATTACTTGCTTTGAAGAGTGTGGGTGTAATTGGGATAAGGGAGAATAGTCTATGCATTATAAAATTTTCACATAGTATTATTCTCTAGTTGTAATTAGACAACGATCGTGATTTTTTTTCCTGTTTTTGAGTTTTCATGTTATATTTTTGTGTGATTATTTTTATCTTATTTCTCTGTTAGAAAGGTAATTCTCAAGGGATAAAAGTATTTTTCTTATTTTTTGAACATTTTTTTCCTGTCATAATCTCGATTGCGACAAAATGTTAAGGTTAGAATCAATAGAAAATAAAAATAATCTAAAATATTATTCTTTTACTTATAAGTATTATTGTATTCATGTTCACTCTTAATGAATTCTTAAGGAGAAGGAACATTAAGTTTTGTATCAACATAAAACTTCTTAATTTCTTTGCAAATCAACAAATAATGTATTAGCCGCATTAATTAAAAACAAAAATTTTAAATAAGAAAGATTGTCCTACAATTAACAACTAAATTGGCTCCGCATTATATACATAGATTCAAGAGACAAGTAGAGGGCTAGTAACATGAAAGAGTAGGTTATAAATATTTTTTAGAGTTGTAATAGAAAATATATTAATTCTAAGTTTATTCTGTCTAAGTTACAAGTGTCAACTTCAAAAATATTTATCTTTATTTAGGCATAGACCAACAACTTCGGTTGTGACATCATGTGTTTGCGAGAACTCAAAGGTAATCACATTCTTAACGTTGATGCCGCGTAGTATTTATACAATAGTATTTTCATTTTTCCGCATCACCAATTCCTTTTGCGTTCTATTGTGCCTTATTTGATGCTGTTAGTTTGTTCTAATATCCATTTGCGTGAGAAAACGTCAGATATGATGCTACTATCTGTTTAAGAAATCAGACAAATCTTGCAGGACTTTCAATTTTATTTTCTTTCACTGACCAGGATTTGCAGGTTGTTTTCAATTGTCATAACAGATGGAGGATATTGAAAACTCGCACACATCTTTCATTCCAAATATGCAAAAATATTTTGTGATTGTACTCCCATTTAACATGTAAAGAAAATATGAATAATGTTAAAATATAAAATATGACATAAAATTTGAATTATAATCTGTAAGGTAAATCATAATTTACATAATACAAACTAAACACAACTGTTCGAACTTAAAAACGGCTATGAGATCCTCAAACTAACAAATTCTTAAAAAAATAAAAAATAAAAAGTGGTGTGTCTAAACAAATTTTAGCATCAAATCATGATTAAAGTTGAAGTGCAAAATAATTACTTCTAAAACATTTATAACCAAAATTAAAAGGCACAACAAAAATTATTATGTTGCAAATTCACATATTAAATCACACATTAAGAAAAGTTGTTAGAAGTAGTTAATATTTTAATTTTTGAAAATTAATTATAATATTTCAAGTTTATCCTTAAATAAAGTCAAACTTTATTATTATATGACAAATGCTAACCAGTGCCTTGGTTAAAAAATTAGAAGCTACTTTTTTGTCAAAAAAATGTGACTAATACACTACTTCCTTGATTTCGTCTAGCATGTTTTCTTAAGAAAATAAATTTACTTTATATTAAAAAAGGGTTTAATAAAGGATAAATATGTAAATAATAATAAATATTCTTAAAACTTGATAAAAAAAAATCTTATATCAAAGATCACTACAAATGTCTAACAAATTCTTATAAAAAGGATAAAACTAGTATATAAAATCAAGTCAATTCAAAACCAACCAGATCTTCGTTGAAAATTGTAACGGTACAATTTCTTCGAAAATCCCAAGTCAAACTAAAGTTATATAATATATTTAACGTCCTTGCCTTTCTTTAACGTCAAATTCTGAATACTTTAGATAGTTCCCTTTGAAAATCGAAGCCAAATAGAAAATTCACTCTTCGACTTCCTTCTTACTCCGACTTCCTATCCAGCAACTAAAAGCTAGTTGAAGTATTCTTAGATGGAGAAAGAAAATCCATTATTTTCTTAGAAAATTTTATAATTAATATCTTAGAGTGTAATTGACAGTTCCCAATATTTTTATTTAAATATACTGTTTGTACTGCCAGTGCTTCGTAGAATCTAAATTAAAAATGCCACAACAACCTGCTTCACCTAACGCATGCAAAAATGGGATGGGAAGAAGTTGCCTCGTTACTGAAGTTCTGCCTTCCCTGCAAAACTAGTTAACACTGTTACACTCCAACGTTAAGACCAGCTATACAAAGCAGCCGATGAAACATCCAGTCGAAATCTTTGTCCATGTAAAGTGGCATCAGGCTACAAAGCTTCCATGCCAAAACAAAATTTAAAAAGATATATAAAATAAAGCAACAAATGGAATGGAAACTTAAGAACACAGATTTACATAAAGTTTTACATCAATTCAATGCTCATCATTGTCCACCTATTCCTATTTCAGGCTAAAAATTGACAATATTGATGCCCTAACGAGTTCCAGTTGATCGGGTTTTTCTTAGCCTGCCACGTGTAACCCGAATGCTTTCTTCCATTAGTGTCTCATTTGTATGATTAGGAGGGTTTCCATTGTCATTTGCTGAAGAGGATGAAGAGGGTGCTGCTTCAATCTGTTTTGGCTCTGCCTCTGTTGGTGCAGATTGGTTGGTTGTTTCAGATGCAAGGTTAGACTTCTGCGTACTCAAACCTGCTACAGATGCAAGATTGGACTTCTGAGTACTCAAACATGCTACAGCAGATTTCTGTGTACTTAAACCTGCTATAGGAGTCTTCTGGTTACTTAATCCTGCTACAGGAGAGGCTGTTTTAGGCACTTGTGGGGAATCCAGCTCCTCTGCTACCTCCCTCTGGAGCTGACTCGAAGTTGTGCTAGAGGTGGGAGATGGTGGTTCCTCAACTGGTGGTTCTGTTGCTGCAGTCTGTTGGCGATTTACAGTTGCTGGTTGACGCACCTTCACACCTGGTCGTTGCTGTGATTTCAAGAGACAACATTATTTTTCTAATGTAGCAAAGAACAACACAATATCTACTTTAGTCACCAATCAAATATTAATCTACAAAATGAAGTTACCGATGAATAGCAACTATATAAATTTTAACAGACAAAGAAGGAAGATGGAATGGACGTATCTTCAACAGTATCATGGGAAAAACTAGTTACTATGATTTTTTTCCCTCTTCTGTTAGAAAAATGAGAATAATTCCAGGTATTAGTTTCATTCCTTGAGCAAAAATATACCTCCTTCCTAGATTAATCATTTTAACAGATATGTAATTGTTCTGACAGCCACGCTTAACTGTATTTATGCATAAATTAAAAAACAAATGTTGGCATTAAGCAACAGAAGAAAGAAGGGTAAGTGGCATTATCCAATTTCATATATAAGAAAGCTGATAAATGATATTCTAGTATAGTTAAGTCACACACAAGCATAATAGCAGACAAAACTGATGCATAATCGTAATCAACTACCTGAGCAGGGCGGGGTGACGGAGTTGATTGTGCAGCAACATATTGCAAAATGTCATATATTCTAGTCTGACCGTAACTAAAAGCTCTTTGCCAATACACAACTGCAATATCTCCTGCCCTTGTTCTAAGTTCCAACAAGTTACGATCAATTTCTGTCTCATGTTTTGCAACATACGGTCTAAAGAAGGAGTCATACACATATGTTGTGCCCTAACAAAGAAATATTAAATCTTACCATCATACTGAAGAGAAACAAATAAGGTAATATTCGACGACAGATATTGATTTTTTACCTTTGTTTTAGGGTACCACAGAAATATGAAAAATGCCAACTTAGCTTCACTGTACATTGGGACCCTTCATGAAGAAATCAATTCAATAATAAGAAACCATAATAAACATTTTTTTGAATAAGAGAAGCAGATATAGCATTCTCATTTCTCTGAACACATCCAAGATAGAATCCTCTACCATGATATAAAAGTATCACCAATTCTCTCACATACTGTCAAAACAGCCACCAAAATCCTGCAACACAGGGAAAAAGTGTTGGCATCAGTATTTGTCACCAGAAATTATCATTTTAAGTTAAGAACAAACGATCAATCTATAATGTGCATGTTTGAATTAAGAGTGTTTTTGAATTTCTCTTGAAAAGAACATGCAAATGTATTATACCAATACTGGCACCAAAAGCGAAGTTGTTCAATTTCTGGCTTATTCTTTTCGACTGCTTTATAGCATTCATAAGCTGGATAAGCATAGCCAAAAACCATCCTGCCAATACATAAAATGACAAATAAAATTATTGAACTCCAAATATTACAATGCAAACCATGTATATCAGAAGGATTCAAAATTAAGGAGTAAGAACAGCAAGAAGCATACACAAGCGCCCAGGTAAGAAAGGATCCTATCATTTTGTATCCCTGACATCAAAACATAAGACAACCGGTTAATCAAACAGAAACATTCAACCAACTGAAACTGAACAACAATGAACAGATTGCAATAATTCATGTATTTCAAAACTCTACAATTCAAAGTCTTTTCACTTTAAATTCCACGCGCAATAAAACTGAAAAAGTGACGACATCCTAAAGCCTACAAACCTATGGCCTATTTTTCTTCACGAAACCACAATTCCTTTCGGTTTTCTCTCCGAACTTTCAAAATCAGCAAATGCGTTGTTCTTAGGACAATAATTTAGAGTAATTGAATCGTCGTAAGTTCTGACCGTATAGATAACGACGAACAAACAACGCTCATCCCAAAAACTAACAATATTTTGAAGGCACAAACGCACGAATCGAGGAGCTAGGGCGAAGCAATGCCAAGTAAAAGAAAGAGATCAACGTCCAAGATCAAACTCAACAAAACTTCCACACATAATAGAATCATCTAATGCACTAAAACCACTTCTATTCGATTCGATTTACGTGACAAAATCAGCAAGACAAAAAAAAAAAAAAAAAAAAAAAAGGAATAAAATAACAAATACCTGAAATAGAGTGCGTTGCGGTGGACAAAGAGAAGGAACAAAAGCAGAGTGTAAATCGGAAATGAGAAGAGTTGTAAATCTGGCGGTGGAGGTAGAGAGAGATCGGCGACGGCGCCGGAAACGGTCACCGAGAACCGTTTCAATGTCGGCGAGAGATGCGGGGGGAAAGGAACAGTTGGTGGAGAAAGAAAATAACAGGATTTGGATTAGGAGTTGCTGTTAGAGAAGAGCCGTTTAAAGTGTTGCTTTGCAATTTGTAAGTGCTATTTCGTGTCCATTGGTATGGGGCTTTTTGTGTGTGTGTGTGTGTGTTGAGTGTAGTAGTAGCTGTAGCAGAGTAAAATTCTTGTGTGCGTCTTGTAAACGTTAGTATGGCGTGAACCTTGCTCATCATTTACCGTTCACGATTAAACCTACGGTTTTCAATCCCTACTTTGCTTCTTTCTTTTGATAATTTTTACTCTCCTTTCTTTTTTCTATTTATTAGCATTTTAAACATTACGCGCAAGGAGAGAACCAATCTTTTAAAAAATCATTTGTAATTATTTTTTATATAGAACTCTTAGGCAAGGGTATCATGACCTACGGAATTATTGTAGTTGGATGAACAGTACCGTCATCTTCAGCTCTCTTAAGGATCAAAGATATCACAATTATACGATTGCAATGATACGACAAAAATATTTTAAAAAAATTAGTAAAGTCACGTCAAAGTTTATTAAAAAAATTTTAAGAAAATTTAAAATTTTGATTTTTGAAACTAAAAATAAATTTAAAAATTCTTTACGTATAAGAAAAATATTAGTACCCTACAAACAACATTCGTTTAAATAATGATTACTTTAAATTAATTGTGCAAATTTATTATAATTTTGAAAAGCATTTATTTAACTCTTAAAATATAAATGTTGCTAAAAGATTTATTTATTAAAATATTAAGTTATATCTTAGAAAAAAAATTTATATTGCATGAAGTTAACGGTAACGTAGGTACACATTAACTTTAACGATTTATAATGCATAAAAGTAGACATGCTATACGTTAACATCATAAATTCTTGTATGAAAAATATTTTGATTTAAATTGATTGATTAATAAAATAGTAATTAGAGTGAGAATACATCTTGATTGATTATTAAAAAAAATTTATTAATAAAAAAAATATGATAAATTAATATTGTCTAAAGTCTTAGTAATGTAGACTTTATCAATTTATAATACTTGACGATAGAGAAGCTATACATTAATATTATAAATTGATAAAATTATTTTATTTATATATTTGTTATATTAAACATATATACATATATATATATATATAAACACCAATGCAGTACTATATTACATGTTCACGGCAAGATGCGTAACAGAAAATATATAAAAGAAAGAAAAGCCAATTGGATAAGACACTTATCACATGTTCAAAGCAAAACACATACCAAAAGATATAAAAGAAAGAAAAACCAAATGAAAAAGGCGCTGGCTAATATATTAAATATATGAATACTATAAGATAAACCTGAGATGTAAATAGCAAGAGTTATTGAAGAACGACTTGTAACTCTGAAGGTTAATAGAGGAGGGACACTGTTTATAATATAAAGGCCTAGAAGAATCTATTTGAAAAAAATGTTTTCTAAGAAAGTCCTCTCTCACAAAGCACCACATGCTACTCTTTCTCCTTAGACTATCTTCTCTTTTTCTCCCTTCTCTCACTACTCCAAAGCAAGAAAAAAAAATACTTCCTCCCCTCTTTATTCGCTAGTACCCTAATATCTGTCTCATGGTCTCTTTTCCTTTTTTCTTTTTTCTTTTTTTTTAACTAATTTGTGTTGTTCTAGTATCCCCCTCTGTTTTCAGGTTTCTCCCCTCTCTCGAGTGCTCTCTCCTTTTTTATCCACTTCTCTGTGTTGGTTTTGAATCATTCGTGTGTTTATTTTCTTGCCTCTAATTTATGCCCTTTCACCTTAGTTCATATATGGTATTATTGTTTTGTGTAACTTCAATCCTGAGTAGATGTTTGTAGGCAGTTGGAGCTTACTTGCTTCTCATTTTCACGATGTATCCCTTTTCTTTTTGCATTATTTAATTAAATAAGGAAGAAAAAAGAAAAAAAAAAGTGTATTCACAAAAGAATAGTAGTTTTATTATATATATATATATATATTGCATCAAAATATAAACGTAGAGTAAATATTTTTAAATAAAAATATGTTATTTTTATATATTTAAACTCGATTATAAAAAGTTGAAGAGGAAATATTATTATATTTAAATATAATCATAATTTTAATTAATGAATGAAAGAGAACAATTAATTAATTATAGTCTTAAGTTTATGTCTAATCATGAAATTTTTTATAAGAATAAAAAATAAAAAATTAAAATCTTAATAAATAAAAATAAATAAATTATTAAATAAAAATAAACTAATTTCAAGAAAAAGATGATTAAAAAGATTTAAATATTATGATAAGCATGTATATTAATAAAATTATTAGTATAAAATTTAATTCCTTTAAATATGTGAATAAGATGAATAATCTAATTATGTGTATAATAAGTACTAACACAAATGAGTTGAATATCATAGAGAGATAATCTAAGTAACAAATAACATCCATGATAAATGTAAAGACCTCTAATAGTACTGAAAAACTCTAAGGATATGATAATCAATTATGTAGTACTTCCAAAATTTGTTTTATTACATCCTTAAAAACGGTCTTTTACACTCAAAGTTATTATTTTATTTGAAGGTAAAATTTAAAAAATTAATTGAAAAGAACTAAAATAAAAGAATTAAAAACAAAGGCACTTAAATTATAAATAAAAATGGTGGATATTAGTTAGAACTTTATGCAATGAATTATTAATGTTATATGGATGAAAAAAAAAATATTATGATCTTTCCAAATAAATCATAAAGAGTTAATAAATAAAAGTTTAATTATATCTTTGGTCCTATAAATATTGGACATTATGTAATATGTTCTTTTTTTTTTTAAGATTTAATTCTTGTGAAGTTAAAAAGTTAAGATTTAGTCCATGTCATTAACTCTCTTCCGTTAAATGTTGAGCTGATTGATGAAGAGCCAGCTCAACACTCTAACGTTATTTAATTTTATAATTTTTTTATCATCTAAAAATAATATTTACAAATAAGACATTGAATATATTTTAATATTTACATAAAGATTCATCTTCTTCTCTGTCACCTTTCGTGTTACTCACCCTTGACCTTCTTCGTTGCCCATGTCAAACCTATATATTTATATATGTATTATTCCTTTCAAATTTTGTTGTATATGCTTAGATTATATGAATTTTCACTTGTTGGCTGTATGAATTATGTGAGCTGTATAATTGCTGAATAAAGAGTTGTGCATTTGTAGTGCTGTGTGATTGTTTTGTTTGATGTAATTAGCAGTGGGGGGTTCTGTGATTAATTGTTAAGTGTTTTATATGTATGCTAACATAGGGGTTATATTAGAGGACTTATATTGCCTCATTCTGGAAAAAATTAGGAGTTCTGAATGCAAGGTTTCTCGCTCAAGCGAGGTATGCCTCGCTTGAGCGAGAATGAGTCATGTTGTACTGGACATTCTAGAGTGATCTCGCTCAAGCAAGATAGGGTAAGACTGTCCCAACTGCCCTTTCACTTTGGCAAGGAGGGATCTCACCTAGGCGAGAAACGACCTCGCTTAGGTGAGATGAGCTAGTGAGGAGTCGTAAGAAAAATGAGGAACTCTCTAAACCTACTCTTGCTTAGGTGAGAATACCTCTTGCTTATGCGAGATGCTGGTCGCTCAGACGAGAATGTCGCTTCTGCACGTGAGAATAGCAAAATGCTAAGTAGTTCCACTATTTGATTTTCTCATCTAGATGAGGATGGCCTCGCCCAGGCAAGATGTTGGCTCGCTTAAGCGAGAGTGCACGGATCTGGACGGGCATTTAAAGAACCTTAATTCATAAAACATTCATTTCTCACCGGACAACTTTCTCCTCTCATTTTCTCTTTGTTCTCTCACCTTCTCCCCTCAGAGAAACCTTCTCAAAGCAAATTTCTTCCCGATCCAAGTGTGAATGTCTATTTCATCCAGAATCCCAGATCTAGTAAGGAGATCTAAGTTCTTGTGCATTGTTTCTCTTTTTGGGACATACGAGGAGTGAGATCTAAGAAAGCTTAGTTCTAGGTAAGGAGAGCTTACTCTAGATGACATTGTTATTCACTCGGATATTATGATATTTATACATAAATCTTGTTTTAGCTAAGAATAGGTTGATGTATGGACAAACTTTATAGTAGAACACATAGTATTTGTGATGGGGTCATCTATTATTCTATGAATGTTATAAAACTGTTTATGTCTGGGACAAGTGTTTGAAATGTTATGACATAATATGTTAAAATGGTTAATATATGGTTGTGTTGCATTATGCTAACTTACATCATTCCAGAGCTGAGTTACATGTTTAGGTAGTTAGACATGTAACAATAGGAAAACACTGAGTTGTGCTTTTTTTGGATCCAGATATCAGGATGGTTCACTCCCAAACTAAAATATTTCCAGTTCCTTCTAGATTACTTAGGCTGTAAAACTAGTTGCAATTGAACTGTTGCATTAGATGAGCTAAGAATGAGCTAAACTACTGCATTGATTTGCTAAAAATTATTGATACATTAGGCTATATGAATGATTATATTATATTCTACATTTTATGACTATGATTATCTGTTGTGTAAGCTCACCCTTGCATTTTGTATGTGTTGACGTGTGTACTGGTATAATCGTACGGTAGTATGTAAGTAGACGTGATAGCCTCCATTTCTTATGTTGGAGGGTTTGGCTGAGGAATGGTCCGGGTTGAAGATTTTTGGGATCTATAACTTTACTTTTGTTAGTCTAAATCTTAGTTGTGAATCTAGATTATTTAGCTATAGATTTGGTCATATAATGTAAATTTTGATTATAACTTATATTTTGAGTTCCGTATTGAGCAACTTTGATATAATGCTAAAGGATAATTACATATGTATATATATATTCAAATTTTTATGACGAGGCTTTATTTTATCATTGAGATATTTCTTATTTTATTTCCATTAATGTCTTGAGTTAAATTTTAGATCTTTTTGATTGCTTAAAGATTTATATAGGTTTAAAATTTGAATAGTATCTCATAGATATTTCTCAAAAAACAGGTTATGACAACCCATCTTACACCTCAATTCCCTTTCTCTTTTTCTTTTTCTGCTATTCCACCTCTCCTCTCCTTTTCCCCTTTTTGCTACCCATCCACACCCCAACTCTAACCTGGTACCCATCCTAATATGATAAGAATTCTCTA